CCATGGATATGTTTTCTCCCAATTACTATTATACTTGTGATTGCTGGAATAAGATTATTTTAATTTATTTTTATTGGTAAAAGTAATAAAATCTTTCACAAATAGAACTAGGTCTATATCATCTTTATTTCTATCCTCAAGTAGTTAATGAACAGTCTGAATCACTTGGTATCAGTTGTGGGTTTTGGTTTTATATCCCGCATTTATTCTAGTAAATTAACATAAATTACAGAGGGCCTTGGTTTATCGAAGTCAAGACCCGTTTAGGACTGTTAAATTAAGAATCGACATCATAGCACTCGGGACACTACCATAAGCGCTCAATTCAGAAGGCAACAGTAACTGTATATCCGTCTCGCCCTTCCCTTGAGTGTTGAGCGTCGTCCAGATCCCCTGGTAACTCCTCGCAGTGCCATTCTCCTCAGGTCATATTCTCTCCAGATCATGCCAGTGTTTTGTGAAATGAACAGGCAGATAGATTGGCCGGTTCTGCACCACTAGGTAGTGAATATTTGCGCATCCGCACTGTTCACTCGCTCCAAGAGGGCCCTCACAATATCTAGCCTGTCACACATCAATTCACCACCAAGTGGTGCAGAACCGGCCATACTATCTGCCTGTTTATTTCACAACACACCCGCATGACCTGAAGAGAATATCCAAAGTATGCTAACTACCCGGGACCTCTGAAGTGATGCTTGCCACTCTGCACGAGCATACCTGTCTTCATCTTTCTCAACATGTTCTGTGAGTCAGTGACAATCACGGCATGTGTGTACAGCTGATTCTCAAGCCAGCGGAAGGTAACCAATTTAGAAAGACAACAACAAATACAATAAGAGATGGCACGAATCTCCGATTCTCCGTTAGTCCGTACCAGGACATCACAACAAAGACAAACTGAAATAAAGATGTTAACTGTAGGCCTACACTGCTTTTAGTAAATCTGCCTGTTTCTCACGGAGGAACTATGAAGAAAATGAGAGCATGTCTTGTTAAGAAAAGCCAGGAAAAACCCAATTACGCCAGCTCATTATTTTAAGCCAGCTCAATTTCAAATACACCATTTTGTGGAATCTGGCGTCAAATACGCCAGTATGGCAACTCTGTTGTCTGCCGTGTGTTGCATTAAAATTTTTTGACAAACACAGAAAACAAAAACTAGCAATATAATTTTTTTTAACAATATAACATTAGATTAAAAAATATTATTAACAATCATTAAATTTCAGAGTTACGATAACTTTAATTAAAATATAAATTTATCTTATTTTCTGAAACTCTCTAAACAGTAAATATAGGTTTGTTTTGTATCATATCTCTACTTCTAGTGGCTACATTTTATATGACTGAAGAGTTCCTGCTACAAAAGACGACTTGATGATGGACTACGGAATCCAGTTTATATTCTTCTTCTGGTTAGTAAGTTAGTAGACAGATCACCCTCATTGCACATCGAATTACGCAGCCCATAAATACTTGAATTCCCGCCTCAGTGTATATAGCCGCCGACAACCACAGTTCTGTGTTCTTTTGCTTTCTGCAGTCAGTTGAGTCAGTCAGTCACTTGACTCCGTCTTCTAATTAAGCAATTTACTTGTTAAATTATTAGTTATAATTCTGTAGTACTGGTGTAACATCGATTCTCTCAGGGGTTGGTTGGGGGGGGGGGGGGGCTGTCGTCGTGTTGCGGCTGGATGCTCATCTGTGGGCCTGAAGGTCATATCGGGATTTTCTCTTCAAAAATCGACCCAGCCTAAAATGGGTACCAGGTAAAGTCCAAGGTAGTAAAGGCGGCTGGCATGAGATTGACCACATCATTTACCGAGTTTCGATTGGTTTATAAAATTCAAATCTAGCACTATATACCAAATATGGGCTATCTTCCGAATAATGGTCCCAAATTATCGAGGCCGAAAGTATACCCTAACACTCAGGGCCTCAGTCACTTGTCAATTGCGGACTTCCGCCACTGCCAAGAGTATCTCCCACACCGCTACACGCGGCGTGGATTGGGGCTAAACTAGATGGCTGGGAATCACGAACAAATGAAGGAAGATGCGGTAGCTGCTGCTCGTGAGTCCCAGCCATCTAGTTTAGCCCCAATCCACGCCATGCGTAGCGGCGTGGGAGATACTCTCGGCGGTGGTCGCAATTTAAGTCACCGGAAGTCCGCAATTGACACGTGACTGAGGCCCTGTTAAGGTATATTTTCGGCCTCGATAATTTGGGACCGTTATTCGGAAGATAGTCCAAATATGTTTAAGGGGATGGAAAATAATCCTTTACTTCTAGTATCACTGTCGGGTTGTAGAGCTCTACATATCAAACTTCTATGTTGTTATCACAATCGACATCTTCGGACATCTTAGTCCTCCAATGCAGCAGCCACTCTACTAATTGTTCCCATAATGAGTTGTATCTATTGTCTTTATTTCGAAGATGGCATGGTCTTGCTTCACCAAACTTAACTCCTCGGTCACGCAGTCCTGTAAGTGCCATAGGTTTGCCATTGTCCCCCAACCTAGACTGTACATCGTTGATGATATCAGCTCTGTCTATGCTTCTTCCCATTAACATTGGTGCATTACTTGCCAGCTGGTCAGCTCTTTCATTGCCATTTACTCCTGCCTGCCCAGGTGTTTTCTGAACAAATTACAAGTCAAAAAGTTATTCAAGTTCAAAATAAGACAAGAAAATATGTAAACGAGTAAGATTTTTCCACTGATAGAAATGTTTTGGTCATTCATAACAAAAGGACGTCCAAGAGAAATCCTGAGATAAATGTAGATGAGAGAGACCCAACAATGCCAGAATAATTCCATCCATCACTTGGATTTCTCAGGATTTAATGGTTTTGAGGAATCGGCTACAAGTCCCGAGGGGCATATAAGCACACAACGTAACGATTTAAACAGATGTATATACTGTGAATATATTTATACTCATTGTCCACAATATGTTCATACTGAAGAACATGCCACATAGTACGCTCACTTTCAGTTAAAGCTTTTTTTTTTTTATAATGGCAGTTCTCATTTTCATAAATGAGCAGGAAAGATGTAATCATCATGTGACCTGATGATCACTTTATAACCCTGAGGGTTGATCCGGATATTCCATGTTGGCTGAAAGGCGCAGATATCGTAGGTATGCTATAAACGAGCACAGCGCAGTTACATTTTCATATGAATGCAGAAGAAGGAGAACAGGATATTTGTGTGAGCCTAAAATGGGTACCATAAACATCATGGGAAGCAAAGGCAGCCAGTATGATGTTGATCCCATCACCCACTGAGTGCCAACTGGTCTATACATTATGGGTCTAGCACTATATACCCACTATGACTAATGATATGGAAAGTGGTCCTTTACTATACTTCTACGTTACTCTTTTTTTTAAAGTAGTCTTTGAAAATTGAGATTTTTTAAAATTTTCTTTATTTCCAGATTGACATGTAAATTTTTGATTGTTTAATCTGAGTTTGTAAACAGAGCTGAATCATTTCTATTTATTCAAAAAGTGCCTGAACAGAATTGATTCTCTGAGATGGTATGGTGGAATCACAAATGTAGTTTCACAAAACAACAACATACATTTTATTGAACCAAGAGCTGGCATTCAGTTTGTCTTAACTTGATAGGAACAACACACAAAATGGACCTGAGCATAGTAAAACAAATGGCAAAACTAATTAGATATATAAATGACAACATAGGAAAGACATACAGGTTTGCACAGAGCTTTTTGTTTCTGGAAAAATTGTGTCTTTCTTTCTTTCTTTCTTTCTTCGCGTTCACCAGCTGTAAACTCTGGTGGAAAGTTCTAGTTGTTCGTCCACTTCTGGACTGCATTCCTGTTCCAGAACCTGAGTGTTGCGTGTGCATCTGTTTGCCAGATCTGACTCATTTGTATGCAGTCGGTTGGATCCTTGCTTCTCAGGCAGATGCACTCTGACTTCGAAGGAAGCTCCCAATTAGTCAACTCTTACGACATGCTTTTTTGTAGGCAGGTGGTCTATTCTTGTTTTCCCTATAATAGGGCCCCAGAACCCACACAGGAAGTGGAACAAAAATGGTGTGATATGCAAAGTGTCTCAAATTGGTGCTATTGCTCACCAAAATGTGTTTATTACAGTAGCAAAAAGAAAAACATTGTGCCTAAAAAATGTTATAGTACTATGTAAAAAGCTCTTGGTGTGCAAGGGATAGGAAAAGATGGGAATAACGAGCATAACGTGGTTGAAATCCTAGCTCTGTTGGCAGAAAAACAACAAAATATGTATATTTAGAGAGAGAGAGAAATAGTTCAGGCCCTTGCTGCCACATTGAACTATCAACTGCTACCTAGAGAAAGGAATCCCTTACCATATGCCTAATATTTAATATCTTGTTTTCTACATTTGTCCTTTAAGGGATAGTTAGCATGTTGTGGTTTACAGCTAGGCTGTGATATCTGCACTTTTCAGCCCATCACATCCGATTTCAACAAACTCTTAATTAGTCGCTTTGTGTGTCATACTTAATGGGTGCACAGGGTCTGTTCTTTTTACCAAGGTGTAACCTAGCAGCCACACTAGGTTCATAAAACTTGATTCTAACTGAATCAACCACAAGTGTTGTTATACTGACCTAACAGTTTTTGTTTTCCTCTTAGCGTTTACCAGCAGTAAACTGCGACAGAAAGATCTGGTTGTTCATTAACTTCTGTACTTTAGTTTTGTTCCAGAGTGTTGCTTGCACATCCATTTTACAGATCTGACATATGTGTGTGCAGACTTATGGTTTCTGCCTCGCGGACAGATGCACTCCGACTTCAAAGCAAGCTCCCAGATAGTCAGTCTACGATATGCTTTTCAGAAAGCAGTAGGTCTGTTGTTGTTTTCCCCACATTCGGGCCCTAGAATCCACATGGGGATAATGTTAAGTTTCTACTGATGAAAATAACAATAAAATAATCATATTCTCAGATGATGCTCTAATCTGTGAGTCAACTCGTCATGGCAGCAAACAACAGACAAGTCTTGGCTATGATAATTGTTCTGGCCGTCCTGACCGAGCTCTGTGACAGCATCACCCGGTACCAGTTCAAGCAGTACACATACAGGAAGAAGCGAGATGACAAACGCTACAAGATGGCTCATCAGCGATGTGAGATGGAGGCACATTGTCACGGGCTGTGGGGCATCGCCTACACAACGTGTTTACGAAAGTGTATGTCAGAGTTTTGTTACAGTGAACTCTATGGAGAAGATGAGTTGGAGGAAGGGGAGATTGATGTGAGATTGAACTCTTTTAAAGGGTGTTTAAGTCAGGTGAAAATGGAGGAATATTTCTAAGAAAATTAATTTGTTCAGGCAGAGTTTATTTGTTGAGCCATCAATGATTTGTTAGTGCATAATTTATTTATTAATCAGTAATTTGTTTATTGATCCATGATTTATATATTCTATCAGTTGTCTTTTTCTACTTAACACATAACCATAGACACAACACATACAGACACAGTGCATACACACAAACAAAACACATACATACAGACATCACAATGGATGGCAGGGCTAGACTGCAAGCCTTATGTGACATGTAATGGCACAACAGGATAATGATGATGATTCATATGCAGGTGTTCAAGGAAACGAGCGTGCAGACTATCTTGCTGACACTGCGGTTGCTATGGCTGGTCCAGTACTGGACAGAAGTGATGTTATCAATGCCATGCGCTGCACTTACCGTTTGGAGGAGCACGCCAAACGACATGACTCCATATCCCTGTCTAGACTGATGGACACGGGGGTGCAGCCTGGGGTCATTATACACTTGTGGAGCTTTTGAGGAGGAGATGGGAGCACCTATGGATCTGTCCGGAGTGCTGTGATGATAATCCTTTCTAATCACTAATCACCATGGTCTCAAATGGTGCCTTAGATAACTTTTGATTACATTAACATACTATGGTTTTTATAATTGTTTTAATAGTGTCCAGATCTCATTTTCTGACAATTTTGTTCATTCATCAAAAGTGATGAATATAATTTAGTGCATAAAATAGTCACTGTTATAGCTGGGACTCATTATTTATTTACAAATTTTTTAATAAGACCGTGATTCTAACTGATGCAGGAACAGAGCAAGTACTCCGATCTTTCTATGTGAACAGACAGGATTAGACAGTCAGTGGTTTTTAGACATGCTGTGACCAGGAATGGACTCTAATCTTTCTGTGTAAACCGACAAAATTAGAGTCAGTGGTTTTTAGACATGTGATATCAAGGAAAGGACTTGAGAACTTTGTACCGACTTGTAAGATTGATGGCTGTAAGATTGATGGCTGTAAGATTGATGGCATATAGATAAATAACTGAATTCCTTGTCCATGTGGATCTGGTGAGACATTTTCTGACCTGATCCACAATTCCGGTGATTGTGTGGGAGGGCAAAGCAGTAACTAGGGATGTACAGATGACAGTGATGTTGATCAAAACATAAATTATATGCTTCCATTAATTTTGTAGATAGTAAAGAAACTTGTCCTAACGTTGTTGATTATATGCTGATGGGACCTGTTGCCTTGTAATGTTGGATATTGTCGGGTTGTTTTCTTTTTTTAAACTACAATGCTTCCTATAACTTTTGAATAATTTATGAACTTATGTGTATTTTTGTATAATGCACAATCCATTATTACAGTATTTTAATAAATTTTAGAATTTATCATTTTGCCTTCAGCGTTCTGTTTCAGCAGTTCAAGCGCTTGTTGTTCATTGTGCAGAAATGACACACCTCCATCCATCTCTGTGATTGGCCTTCTGTTTCCAGATGGTGCCTCTGTGTGTTGTAGCTCTTCCTGAATATTATCTCTCCACTGTCTTCCAGTCCAAAGGACGTTATGTGGAAAAGCTTGCTCTCCTTGAGATACGCCTGGCCAAATCAGAGAGAAAGGAAACACCGAATAAGACAAGGAAAGAAACGCACAGCTAACAACAGGGTGGACGACAAGCGGTCTGACTCGGAAATGGCACAATACTAGAATTTAGTCACGAAAGTGACGCAAATAACCCAGACCACAAATATAGGCGGAGACTGTTAGCAGCCTCGGCTAGCTAGCAGCAGTCTGAAAGTGGTCGACCTTTTCATTTTTTTTCTCAAAAGGACTAGGACCATCTTCCACGTCTGGTTTGTGGTCTGTTTGATGTTTGCATGAAATATTTCTCAGAATGTTGTTTATTATATAAACATTTTCACAGCTGTTACTAATAAACAGTCCTGTTAACAATTATGAGAATGTAAAAAACCAGTCTTTGTTTCATGTAAATGTTGCGCCTGGTGAAATTGTACCTGACATTACACCTCTAGCAGTTTGTGTATTGACCTGGCATCAGAGTACTGGAGGAATTCCCATAGACGTGCCATCCACATCTTCAGCAGCCAGCGAAGAGTTCTCGTTCTGATGGTGACAGTAACGGTTTTATGTGTCTATCTTGCTTTTCCTCTGAGTGTAGAGTGTCAGCCAGATCTCCTGGTCATTCCTAGCTGTACCATCTTCTCCAGACTAAAATAATCGATCTGTGTCTCTGTATGGTTCACTTGCTACAAAAGAGCCTTGACCATATCTAGCTCATGCATAAATTCACCACCCAGTGGTGCAGAACCAGTCAGTCTATGCACCTATTCATTCCCTAACATCCTTGCATACCTGGGGAAAATATCTAGCAAGACAACAGTTGAATTAACATAGCTCCAACAGTTAAATATAGTAGTGTCCCATCCTGTTATAAACACCAGACACGGACAATGGCAGCATTGGACTTTTTTTTTTAAATGGGGGGGGGGGATTGTAACTGGCGAAACACCTGTGATAGATTTTAACAAAAGTAGACCAGATGTGAGTGATAATAATATAGCACATGTCAATATAATAGATGTTTAGACTTTATAATAGTAACAATAATAATTTGATGTAAAGTCAAACTTTACTGGTGACTGATTGAATTACAACAGACACTGAAGTTCATCTGATTGAATTACAACAGACACTGAAGTTCATCTGACTAATTACAACAGACACTGAAGTTTATTTGATTGAATTACAACAGACACTGAAGTTCATCTGACTAATTACAACAGACACTGAAGTTTATTTGATTGAATTACAACAGACACTGAAGTTCATCTGACTAATTACAACAGACACTGAAGTTCATCTGACTAATTACAACAGACACTGAAGTTCATCTGACTAATTACAACAGACACTGAAGTTCATCTGACTAATTACAACAGACACTGAAGTTTATTTGACTAATTACAACAGACACTGAAGTTCATCTGACTAATTACAACAGACACTGAAGTTTATTTGACTAATTACAACAGACACTGAAGTTCATCTGACTAATTACAACAGACACTGAAGTTCATCTGACTAATTACAACAGACACTGAAGTTCATCTGACTAATTACAACAGACACTGAAGTTCATCTGACTAATTACAACAGACACTGAAGTTCATCTGACTAATTACAACAGACACTGAAGTTTATTTGATTGAATTACAACAGACACCGAAGTTCATCTGATTGAATTACAACAGACACAGAAGTTCATCTGATTGAATTACAACAGACACTGAAGTTCATCTGATTGAATTAAACAGACACCGAAGTTCATCTGATTGAATTACAACAGACACTGAAGTTCATCTGATTGAATTACAACAGACACTGAAGTTCATACAGAGACAATATTGCAGATATAAAATACAGTAAGGGACCCTTTTCCACACCTTTCAGGCGTACTGGGTATATAGGGCTAGACCTATATTTTATAGAGCAACCGGCGCTGGGTGGGGGGGGGGGGCTGATGTGGTCAGTATAACACCGGCCCCCGTCAGGAACCGAACCCACGACCATCCGATCCGCAGCCGATAGTCTAGACGCTAGATCACCGCCGCTCCCACAGATAAGATAATTTATTTCAAGCGAAAGATGAAGAAGAACAACAACAATAATAATAAATGAAAGTAAAGTGGTTTAGGTATGACAACCCCCAGACACAGCTCCACAGAAAGCAGTGTTAGTTAAAATGACTGTCCAAGTACCCAGTGGATAGGAAGCCACCGTAGTGCAGCGGCCTTACGCTTGAATGCGGATCGGAAGGTCATGGGTCCGGACTTTTCTCAGTAATGACCTTGGCTCCCAGCATTGAGTGGGTACAGGGTCGGTTATTGGGAAGTAAACGTGGCCGGCATAATGCCTACCACGTCCCCTACCAAGTGCCGATAGTCTATAAAATATAGGTCTAGCCCTATATGCATAAGGGCGTAGAAATGGGTGCTTCACTTTACTCCCTGGGTAGACCCTGCCATATATGGGACTTAATCAGAGCTTGTTCTAGCACTCTTCATACAAGGACAACACAAAAATGAAGCAGCCAGGAAAATAGAACAACAAAACAATGGATAGAAAACAGTCTTAAATGTGTACCAAACAAAGATGAGATGCAGCTAAGACAATACAGTTGGTTCTGGACAACAAGCACACCACACGCTAATTCTCACCCTTTGTCAAATCATCATCATGTGCTATGTCGATGAACGTAGGCGGCCACGTTTTGTCTTGTCACACCATCACCTGAATCGCAGATTCGGTTTCAGTGCACTTGTCTCGTTCTACCCATATGACCAAGAAACTGTGTTGTTGTTGGGATACTTACTTCTTGATACGTATTGTCCAATACGACATCCTAGCACATCGGTCTGACACATATGTGCTCCATCCGCCAGTGAAGCAGCCATATCAGTGTCTCTGTGTTTATCTTACAATCAGGAGTTGACTGGCATCTTTTTCCGTTTTTGTTTTTTGCATGGTTGTCCTGGTTGAATTCCCATCTCCAACGTGCGGTTTATTGTCTCTGATCCCTTTGCCTCAATGTTTCCAGAACGCAGCACGTTCAGTATGTCTGCCCTGTCCATACTTCATCCTCCACTAACCACTGCAGAAACGGCCAATCTGCCCACTCTTTTATTTCCTTTCACTCCAGCGTATCATAGCATGTACAGTCAAGATAGATTTTAAAAAATGTAAATCCCTATACCTTTTTCTCGCTCTTGAGAGCCACCATGGTGTAGTGCTAGACGCTCGCATGTGGATCGGGAGATCGAGGGTTCGGATCCTGACCGAGCCAGCCTCCCCCCCCCCCCAGAATGATCTTGGCTTACATGTCAACGCAGCCTTGAATAGGTACCTGGTACGGCCCTGGGAAGTTCTTCCTTTTCACTCACAAATGCCCATCGATGTCTGTAAATGTGTTAAATAGAAACGACGAAGCCTCCGTCG